CCTTGATGAGCCATTATCAGCTGGTTCACGGTGCCGCCCAGTCGCTGCAGTCTCACAGGTGGGTCCTGTTCCCTGTGGGATCTTATACTGCCATGGAAAACAGGAACCTCCCCTCTGGCAACCTCAAAAGTGAGGTCTCCTTGAATCATCAGCTTTTCTTCCTTTTCGAAATGGAAATGGAAGACCTGAAACTGCCACACTTGGCTGCCATCTAATTTTCCTTCCATTTTAAAAGGAGGTAAAAGTATAAAAATGTTTTATTTTTTATTTTTTTATTTTTATACTTAGGTCTTAAAAGCAGGGGACAGTCTGGAATGCAGAGTCATCCACAAAGAGTACAGGGACTAAGCCAATGATGTCGGCAAATATGAGTTTACCAGATTTAGACTTTATACTCATGCCTATCAAACCAGATCTAACCTAAATCACAACCAATATGTAAATACAAACTATGCCCGATAACAGACCAATACAGGGTTATTTGCTTTCTGATGCTGGTCTATAAAGCTCTGAATGGTTTAGGACCAAAATACATCAGTGACCTCCTGACCCAGTATGAACCTTCCAGATCCCTCAGGTCATCTGGATCCAGTTTTCTATCAGTTCCCAGAGTCAGAACCAGACACGGAGAAGCCGCATTCAGCTTTTATGCTCCTTATATCTGGAACAAACTCCCAGAAAGCCTCAGATCAGCTGAAACACTCAGTTTATTTAAATCCAGGTTGAAGACTCACTTATTCTCAGCTGCATTTAAATAAAGCACCAAATCCACACTTTCAAGCTTAAATTTCAAAACTTACATTTTAACTTCTGATTTTATCTGTTTTGATTTTATCTACTGTTTTGTTTGTTTGTTTGTTTGCTTGTTTTAATCAATTTTAAATCATGCTTTTTATTTGTTTTTGTTTCTAATGTCTCTGTAAAGCACTTTGAATCACCTTGTTGTTGAATTGTGCTATACAAATAAACTTGCCTTGCCTTTATTAGAGTTAGAAAGGTTAGATAAGAAGACTGAGGCCACTGTGGTGTCTAAATCTGAAGCATTTGCTTTATTTATTTATTCTTCCCCGAAAGCTAAAGGAATTTATACTATATAACCACTGTCAACTTTCATGCCATACTCAGATCTGGTACGGGCTGATTGTTACCATTTTGAAAGCTACCTTCTATTACTATGGAATTTAAAGCTTATTTTAAACCAGTGACTGCTTTAAATTACGATCACAAGCCTTTTCAACTAATCATATAGACATTATATTTTGTTGTGGTAAGACATTAATAAAAACAAAAGAGACAATGGTTCAAACTCCACAGTTTACTGGAAAGGAGAATTAGAGAACCCCAGAGAACACACACGCACACACTTCCCATAAAACACATCTGCTTGTGTCCCAAAAACTGCCTCGGGATCCAGTGTTGTGACATGTGGCCTGACAGCTTGTCTAGCATGAGATGCTGGGTGGTGGGTTGTTAGCTGTTCTGCCTTACCAACCCCACAGCCAAAACATCCACACCCACTTTTGAACTCTGTTATCAGTGTGGTCATCGCTGGACTCACTGACAGAAACCGAAAACATATCATGTATACATTTCTGACAGTGATCTGATTCACATGCAGAAAACTCTCATTTGTGCAGTATTACAGAGTCTCATCTAGGTGTGTCATGCAATTCAAAAAAAGAGCATGTAAAGGAGATTTTTAAAGGGTTCGTATTGGACACTCATTGCTGTGGGCAAAAATGCTCTTTACATTTGAGGATTTAGTTCCTCCAGTATCAGCCAGAATGTCTATCAAAGCCTAAATGACATAGGTGTGCCAGCACTGCTTTAGGACAGCTCGGAAAAATGACTGAACCTGTCCTTTAAGGTGCCTTTCAATGGCTCCCCTGAATGCCCTTGAGCAAATATGTTAAGTCTCCCCCCATCAAGAACAGACGGTTCACTGTCCATGGTGCTAAACGCTAGAGCAGCTGCCTTAGAAAACAAATAAGTGGAAACCTGCCTGAATGTATCAGATATTTTGAAAGCAGCATACAGCTTCTGTACAGACAAATAAACCCACCTGGACTGCTCAAATAGAATGATTTTAGCTGATTTGGCGTCAAAAGGTCCTGTTGTCCATGGTGTTTAAAGAAGAACAAAAAACTACTACACCAGAAAACACTGAGATTTTTTTTTTACATGATAACTATATGAACACACAACGGCTCCCCTACTGCGTGTTTATCTGGACTTCATATCCCTTTGAAAAGGCTCTTAACCGTTTGTGATTGGCCAGATAGGTGAGATACGTGTATGCTATTTTGCGTATTCATTTTTAACCCACTAATGGCGACTGGTAGACAGACTGGCATTGGTTGGAAGTGGCTTGCAAAGCTTATTAGAAACCAGAAAAAAAAAAAGAGACGGCGGGTGTCAGGCAGTACCTTAAATGTTTCAAAACGAGAAGAGGGGGCCGCGGCAGTCGTCGCCATATTGATGATAACCTCCAGCTCTCCGGAAAAAAACGACACTTTGAGTTTTATATTTCGAGTGAGCCGCGGCCATTATGTTCTCACTCCCTCCAGATACGCCACCAGCAGCACAATTCCCAGGAGCCGGGAAAATAAATGAATAAATAAATAGATAAACAAATAAAAATAAATCTTAACACACACAGATACGGTAAGCGGCCGACCGAGGTTGACGTGTATAATTGTTCCTGCCACCCGACCAACACCCCTACAGGTAAAGTCCGGGGCCCACCTGAGGGTCGAAGCCAAACAGGTATCACTTAAAGTCGTTAATCAGATATTTTTATCTCTTGCTCGCTCCTTTTTACGTCCACAATTATCCACTGAATGAGTCTGGGCGTGTCCTTGGCAGATGTGTGTCTACTCCCTGTAATCAATCCCTGACACTGACAGTTTCTGGTGTACCAAAAATAAATACGTCGGCGTTATTGTCGGTTGACACCTCAGTTGCTGGCTTACCTCAATGAAACCTCTTTAAATGCAGTCACCCCTTTGCG